AGGACACAACCCTGTGATGTGACAGTCTGAGTCGGAGCTGACTGAGGCGAGTGTTTCTGACAGCTGAAGCACGGCTCTGCCTCTCCAAAGAGCCTAATTTCCTGCTTCAAATCTGCTCAAATGCCCCCCTCAACCAACCAACCAACCAATACAACCCGTCTGGAGGAAACAGACTCCTGTTGGCATGGCAACCTTGTGGGGCCGTGTTTAATTTGTCTTGATAAGTCATGCTAACAGGGCTACGCCATCCCATGTTCAAGAGGGTACTACCTTTTCACGCTGCAGCCACAGAAATCGCTTTTGTTACATTTACATTTTTTACAAACGTGTTCAAACCTGGAAAGCAGACGTGTGTGAGACCACCGCTTTCTAAATGTTGCTCCTGAGCAAACTGTGATTTATTTCCAGTCTCTAAAAACGTGAAGGGTGGAAATGATCCCCTGAAGTTTCCTGATGTCTACCTATTTGTCATGGTCACTTTGTCTTTGACCACGTCTGCGCTGACAGCACTGGCAGTGATTACAAAAGAAAAATTATGCAAATCTCCCACGGGGCTCGTCAGCAGTTCTTCTTCTTGCAGGGGCCGAGCTCAGCAAGATGCCCTCTGAGCTCGATTCATTTCATTTAGAGTTAATTTACAAGTTGCAGTCTGTGCAAATAAATAAATTCATCTCTCCTAGAGATAAATCAACAAAGGCACAGAGCTGTAGCTTGTCTTGTGTTGGATTATACAATAAAAAAAAACCACCTACTGCAGTTTTAATTTCCACCTCTTCGTCTAAATAATGAATGGAATAATCCCACTATGAAGTCAAGGGGCCGTGTTTAAGCTTGATATTTATGCCATGATTTGGTAGCCGCCCCGGGTCAAACACTGCTGTTGTGTTTTGCCCTGCAGGCTGTTTTGCAGCTTTGTGCTTCTGTGAAGCGGGGGCCGTGCATCATGGAGCAGGTGGAGGAGGACGGAGGGAGGGAGGTGGACGTGAGGTAACAGCCTGAAATAGGACGTGACTGTTGACATTCACCTGGATGCCCTCTGTAAGGGAAGGAATAAGTAGGGGAGAAGAAAAAAAGGAAAAGCAGAATGATCCTGAGGCTGGAGAGGGAGTGTGTGATTGCGGTTACTAAGGCTACAGCATGCTGCCTGAGAAGGAAGGAGGGCGGGCTTGGAGGAAGGTCAGACGACTGAGGTACAACCAGTTAAATCAACTCTGAAGTGCGAGGTCCCGGTGGTGTTGGGGTTCAGGAAATGTAGCTGCTTTGGCTGCTCAGGAGGAACATGGATTGTCGCTCAGAACGGGACCTTGTGCACACTGTGCGCTCGTAGCACGCCCTCTGTGCTGTAAATCCCTTTGGTGCATCACATAAAGGAGGATAAAAGATGTAAAAAAGAGATCAGAAGACAAGTTTACGAGATAAGATGTCTTTTGTGAGACGAACGCCTTGAAAACATTCCCCCCTGGGGGATGAAGGTCACCTGGAATCTGAGCTCACTGTAAGATAGCGTGCTGGCCTCGCCTTTAACTTTCGATTGTCACAGAGGCTCAAATCCTCTCCGCCTCTATCCCTGATGTCTGTATCCTCTGACGTCTTTGAAACAGACTGCAAAGCTTAAGCTGTTTGGAGAAAGGAAATGATGCAACATAAATTTCAAGGCAAGGATGCTCTGTCTTTCTCTCTCTCCCCCCCCTTCACACACACACACTGCAGGATGAAAATCAATAGCCTTCAACAGTGAGTCAATGCAGAAACTAATAGCTAACAAACCCAGCGCTGTAAAATCACCAGCAGCTCCTCACACAGGGTGGTTGTAATGTAAAGAAATTGTGTTTTAGCACGCTGTGGATCTTTGTCACATATAGAATTATATTCCTTGATAATGGAAGTGCTGGGTGGATGAAAACAACCCTTGACTCTTGTATCAGGGAGGGAAACAGACACCAGAACACTGTTGCCAACACCAGGAACATCAGAATGCACAAAGGAGCTCTTGTTTAAGTTGATTAGGAAACGTGGGTATCGTTCTCATCAACATTGATTTGGCTAAACATCTGACTAAGCAGCTCCACATTAACTGAAAGGGCACTTTATGGGCATCCACATCCATCTCACACAAGAAGCTTCCCTCCCCGTGATGCCAAAAATGCTGATGGTCTCACAGTGCAGGGTGATGTGATTCAAAGCCGAGCAACAACAGTCTACACTTGAAGAATGAGCCCCCTGAGATCTTTATTTGAGATCATATCGTCCTCTTTATTTGATTAACTCTCCACTACATACGCAAGGATCATCAGTGCTGTTGCTCCATCTACTAATATGTTAACTGTACATAAACCAAAATAACAGAGGACTTTTCTTTTTCAATTTGAAGGAAGGAATTCTGTGTAATTACTTAATTATATAAAGGAGCAATCGCTCTGTTTTTAAGGTGGCCAAAACAATAACATTAACAGCAAACGTGCTGCAATTACAGAAACAATGCAAAGTCCAAAAAACACAAAAACCTAGAAAACAGATTCAACTGTTAAATCTGCATCCAGACACCACATCTGAAGTCTCAAGGCCTCAAGGAGTGCACTAAGAGGAAGTGGATTGTCATGTTTTTTGGTAGGGCCACCACCCAGTGTCCTTCAGGGAATGAGGTACAGAGAAGGTTGTCTCGCCAAGCTTAGCTGTTTATCTGACCCAGGAATGCCCCTGCTCAGGGGTCAGGGGATGGGTGCTGACTGATGCCAGACCTTCCTCTCACTTACACCCTATCCTCAAAGTGTCTTCAGACCGGCTGTATATCTCCCAGCTACTGTAACCTCAACATTGTTCTCTGTTTCAATCTCCACCAGCATGCCCCACTGAGTGCAAAGGATGCTGGGAGGTTGGATTTGATAACCTAGACATCCAAGAGGTCCAAATCTCCTGTGTTCTGATGGTCAGATAACTGGCTAACTGGTGGTTTCCACAGGATCCGTGGGTTTGCAGCATTCAGTCTCCGTCTTTTGCTCTGCCTGATGGCGCCCCCCCGAAATATGAAGCGTTAGTGCAGCGGATCGCAGCAATGTGCCGCTAGACTTGCGGGTTCACAAGATCAAGGGTGAACTAGATCACAGGGGAATAACGTGCAAACAACATGTTAGTCAGTGTTTTCAGGCTCGATGTGTTGTTCTTTTGGTGCCTGTTTTGACTTAATATTGATAAATGGGACTATTAGCATTTATTTTGAAATTGATAGGATACTCACCGGGTTCCCTCGTGTGACTTCCTGTCTGCTCTGTTCATCTTGATGCGGCCTCGGACCATGTCTCATGCCGTGGAAACACAAGCATTATAGAGAGTGCATGATCAGCTCCAGAGTGTGCAGTGCGGACAGAATGCCGTGGCACAAGGATGCTGTGAAAACTGCCAGTTACAGTACAGCTAACTTAACTCCCTAGCTAGCAGCTACAGTTGGCCGTAGCGGTTACCTTGGCAAAATCAATTAGAAACATAACGGAAAAAAATAAACATAAAATAATTATAAAGTTGTGTTTTTGCACATCCAACCTCATACTTGTCTGCTTTTCTCTGACAAATCATCAAATTCAGGACTTGGCTTTGGTCTCTTTTGGGTCAAAAGTCAAACTGCCTCAGGCCTGGATCACTTCTGCTGGGAAGACTGGTTGATGGAGAGTTTTTGTATTGCATTTTTTTTTTTTTGGGGGGGGGGGGGTTCGTGTGTTTTTGACTTATGGTGTTTTCATGTTTACTGTAGTTGTGGTTATTTCAGCTTTCTGCAGCCCGTTCTTTTCATTGAATGTATGTTGTTGTTGTTGGATTTTTGTGTGTTTCTTTTGAATTTGAAACTAGTCTGAAGTTGTTACATGTATGTCCTAAGAGAGATGTGTTGTGCTGTCTTTTTTTGCACTTGTTGGCTTTGTGCATTAAAGTGAATCATCGCCAGGTGAGGGGCACCTGCTGTAAACATTGCATTTCTTTTTTTTTTTTTTTTTTTATAAATGATGTGCGTAAAAGCTTCTCCTTTGAACAACTTTGGTATAAAAATTGACTTCATAAGCACACTATAGCTCCTCCTCTCTGTTTTTCATATGAAATATTGAGCACATGAGAGCCTGTGCAGCCATATCAGCTGAACTAATGCATGGAATGGGTCTTTTTGCTGACAGTGTCACTCTGGGAGCTTTTTTTCTGATTAAAGTTGATCCTGAGGCAGGGTTAAGTGCTGCCTGTCCTGTCCAAAGTGCAGTCAGTGAGCGGTCCACCAGGGGCATCAATTCGCTAAACCCTGACGGTGGCAAAGTTCTGCAGCTGGTCTCATGCAGCTTCAAAAAGGCTGGGTCCTGATTTCAGCACAGACTGTCTCAGGATGGGACGAGAAAAGAGGACTGTAGGTTATTTGATCAGCAGAATTGTAATCTATTATATAGAGGTCATAACAGATCAGAGGGACTGATGATCTTGAATGCAACTCTGAGGGGTTTTTTCTTCTGGCTGCACTGTGGATTGTTAAGTGGGGTTATTCTTTCTTGCAGGTACAGCAATAAAAAAAACAAGTTCACAACATCAGTTTGGAGTCACTTGTGCTCAGAGACGTCGAGTGACTACACCTTGACAATCACAAGCTTTTCTCCCACATACCCCTTTTTTCCCAAAATGTTCCAGGGATGTTTTTTTTTTCTCCCGGGGGTTCTCCGGTGTTTATAGTCGGTGAAAAGAAGATAAAGTCAGACCGGTTGTCTCTTTAAATCAAGCTGCAGTGTTGATGTGCCCTCAAGCTGAAATGGTAAGAACCATTTCCACCTCTGCGGCAGGGAGCCTGACCAAATAGGCGCACTAGAGCGCTTCAAACGTGATTCTCATTCCCTTGGTCACTTGTGGTCTATGGTCGCCTCCACTCCTGGAGAGGGAAGCTATTTGTCAGTCTTTTCCTGTGAGTTTTTTTCCCCCCCTGCGCATCTCGGAGACATTATTTAATTTTTATTTTCTCTTTTTTTTTGTTCCATCCGCAGAACTCAGTGGCAGTCGCCTCAATCCATTTACCGCTGGCTGGTACGCCTATCTCCTCCTCTGCGCTGCAATCTGTTGATAACTCCACTTGCAGGCTGCAGTTTATTGTGTTTCGCAATGGGAAACTCTTTCCTTGCACGGGGAATTCGTCAAATCTCGCAGACGATGGGAAGCGTAGGAGCGTTTCAACACCAGTTGCTTTCACCAAATTAGGTAAGAGGAAATCCATTTTTATCATCATGCCTGTGATGTCAACGCCGTGCTGTGCTGCCGACTACATGCTTACACACTCACACACACAAGCAGCTTCTCAGTTTGTTCTGCGCAACATGTTGACACACAAGCTTCACAACCTGGCGTGCATGATGCCGCAATAAATCCAAGTGACTCTGTGTCTGTTTTGAAATCCAGTGAATGAAACCACCGCATGAATGTTCACTACTTTAGGTATCCATATGAGATTAAAGTTGATCTACAACACTATCTGCATAATGCGCGCGCGTGTGGTTTGTTTGCATGTAAATAGCGCGTGCCAATGTCCACGCTCCCTGTGCCACAGCACTTACACACTTTCCACTTGGTTTCTTTAATTAAATGTGGTGCTTTTTTCTTGCAGATGGGTGCAGCCTCGGGAGCGCCGTGCACTCCGTTACTATCGCTCTGAGGCACTTCGCTCTGGGTGTAGACCCCACCGCAGCCTACTGGGATTTTGACCTGCTGGATGGACACGGTGGCTGGAGGGCAGAGGGCTGTCACATAACAGGCTCCGGGGGCAACACGACCACCATTCATTGCACCCATCACAATAACTTTGCTGTGCTAATGGTGAGTAGTATACTGTGTGGTTCCAGCGTCATTCATTGTAGCACAACCATGCCCCCTCCTCCATCCACCCACCCCTACATTTTTTAATGCTTAGGGCCTATTATGGATCAAATGCATCTTTTTTCACCCTGGAATAGATGGAGTCACGTGTTGTAAGAAGCGCTCCATGCAGGGACCTTTGAAAGCTTCCTTTTATTGTAGCTCTTCAGCAGAGGGAAAGGATTTGTCAAATGCGCTGCGGGGATTTATTGGCTTTGGAGTATGCGCTACACTAAATTCCCCCTATATTCTGGAGATGAGAAGTTGCGCGCGTTGTAGGCTATAGCCTGCCACCTTTTTCCAAAAAGCAGCACAGCAGCAGCAGCAGCAGCAGCAGCTGCGATAGAAGAGATGCTCAGGAGAAGGAGCGCCTTGTCAGGAGCCATTCGCCTTCGAGCGCGAGTGCTGTGCTAATTGGTTTCAACCGTCGCCGAGCGAAAATGTTGGACAGCAAAGCGTAGCATCGTTCATCTGTGTCGCTGAAGTTGGTGTCGATTCCGCTGAGATGCCTTCTCCCGACGACGTCCCCTTGTTCACATTGATTTCATGAGGATAATACCAAAAGCGCAATGGCATCGTATCGCCCAGTCGCTCCGTAGAGCCGCTGCGCCTGGTCCGCTTTTTTTGGATGAAAAGAAATCCTCCGGATGTTTACCGAAGAGTGGGATTCGTTAGACTGGGAGGTCAGTTCTCAGCAGAGCATGAAAAGTGTTGCTTGAGATGTCGGTGCTTTCCGAGTTGCCTTTTTACCTGCATATTTTATGAAGCCGCTGTTCTGTTGTTCGTGTGTGGAGAAAAGCTGGCACGAAAAAAAAGCCGCATAGGAATGAGAAAGAGTGGGGTACAGGGAGGAAGAGGCTCACTAAAACGGCATGTGGGGCTCTGAGGTGGAGAGTGGGGTGTCTGTGGAGGATGGGGAGCAGATGTCAGATTGTCATTGTGCATGTATTTTCTATCAAACACGGGCTTGGGGAGGCGCACCGTCAATGGGCACCTTCTGGTTGTCGGAATGAAACGAAATCTGCTTTTTTTTTGTCACATTTCCTGGTACCAGATTAATCTGAACTTCAATACACGTCCGACAGGCAGAAGGTATTCAGAGTAAAGGTGGAGAGCGGACACATGAATGTCCACACTGTGGCGAGTGTTTGCGCCGAGGTTTGCGCGTCTGTTAATGCAGTCACCACACCCGCCTGGTCTCTGCAGTGCCCGAGAAAAGGACCCTTATTTACGGACTCGTGACATCATTCTCCTCATGGCCTTGTATAAAATACTCTATAATGCAACAATGACCCGTGTAGCTCAGGGCGGCTTCTGCAAGTTGCAGACCTGTTGCATAATCTTTTCATGTGAGAGGAATCGCCTTTTACTGGCTTCCTGCGAGTTGACCATGTTTAATTGACAGCATTTAGAAGTGAGGAGCCTCGCCAGTGAAGCTCTCATTTAAACTCCTGCAGAGAGACTGAAATAACATCAAAGCTTTGGTGTTCTGAGGGAAAATCAGTGGAACAAGTTGCAAAGTCTAGAAAAAAAAAAAGTCTACTGTGACAGTGGTGCAACAGTAGTGTTTGCATTCACTGACAGTGAAGTATGTTTTCTCAGAGGCAGATACATGAGTGTCGAGCACATTGCTGTATCACCTTCTTTCTACATGATGCAGCCGGATTGCTCATTAGATCAGCTGTCTGCGGCGTACAGGGGGAAACATCCACCTCATGCTGCATGTGTGATGCTGAGCAGACTGACAGAGGGTTAACCACAAAGCATGACAGCTCTGAAGGATGAATAATGCAACAAAATCATTTTCAAAGAAACTAGGGGGAGGTGGGAAAACGATGCCTGAAAGGCACAATGCAATATGCAATTCCTGTTGATCCACACTCTTTCACTTCTTATTTGGCTTTACTGTGTGTGTCTTTTTTTGTGTATGTGCGTGTGTGAGCGGGAGATGATTAGTCTACAAATAGCATGACAACCCAATACAATTGCCCCTGGGGACGGAGGTTTGGGATATAAAAAGTACTTTAATGAGAATCTTTTTGACTTGGCTCAGAGAGAATTACATGCTTCTGCCCCCCCCCCCTTCCTTCCTCCGTGCTTTGTGATCAGAATGCCAAATAACTGACTTGGGACAGGATGTGTGTGGAAAAAAAAAACCCTAAACAAGAGCAGCCTTCAAGGCTTTTCTGTCTATTTATTTGATGTGTGTGGACTTTGAAGAATGTCTGGTGCAATGAATGCATCACTTTGTTTGTCTCTTGTCAGAAAGCAGGTCAGAGTTTGACCTGTTAGTCTAGTCAACCAAGTCATAGAGTTTTCCATGTGTGTCAGGTGCTGAACGACAGCGCGCCTCTTTTTATCCCTGCACTGAGCAGAGCTTGAAGCTGTTCCAGATTTCAGCACCGGGGACAGTTCCCATGTAACCCCCCCCCTCCTCTTGTCCTGCCTCCTTCCCCTCCTCTCGTCCTCTGCCTCCTGCAGGCCGGTGTCTGTCTTGAAGGGAGGGCTGACTCACTCGTTTACAGCAGTGCAGCCTCATGATCTGTCTTCATCACAGTGACAGGCTTCAGCCCCCCCCCCCCCATGACCCACCCTTAACCCCTCCCCAATCTTATCTGCAGCAACACTTTGTGTGCTTTAAGTTCTTGCAGACCTGGTAGCGGCGTTTTTTGTGTGTTATTCATTTATGGAGGGAACACAGACCGAAGGAGTTCCTGCATGCGTTAGCTGCAGCGCTGCACACTGTTTAATATGCAGAAGCAGACCTTTACAACGACAGACACTCAGAGTGTGGGGGGGGGGCTGGCTTCTGTAAGTATCCAATCATAACAAAGGCCTTCAGGCCACGGGCCAATAAGGGGAGAGCTGTGCACAGATGTGCTCCCATACTCACTGTACAGAATGTAATGTATGAGTGAGGAGGATTCCTGGAAGCAGGAGGCTCCGCTGGTGACGCTCTGCATCACACTTACAGTAGAACAGGTGACGTGTTGTTGGTGGAGCAGGAGACAACTTTTACTACACACAGTTACCAAAGTTATTTTGCTTTTGTCATGTTTTTATTTTTAGACATTTTCCTTCACGCTTCTAACAGTTATTCAAGTGGACCACAGATAAATTTACTGAGAATTCTCTCTTTTTTGTAAAGATGCTGACAACTTATGGATATGTGAACGTGGTTGCCTGCAAAAAATATTTGCCTTTGTGGCCGATTCTCTGCACTGTTGTTTCTTTGATACTCTTTGTTGGGGCTTCGGGGGCTGTGAACTGAGCTGCTGCTCACTTAATCTCACTATTCACTAGTCACTATTTGACTAAAATCTTCATAAAGGATAAATTTTGGGGGCAGTAATTTGAAACACAAAGAACCCCTTCACCTGTAAACATTTAATGGTTCACATACAGCTTAAGAAAAACTTTAACAAACATCTCACAGGTAAAACATGAGTCATGATGTAAACTGATATTACAAGTATATTGTAAAAAATAATCTGTTGTTGAAGCTGTGAAGTGCAAAGCCAAAGCCTGACTGGACTGACACAATGTTTAGTGGGATACAGCCGTTTATCTGAAAACGGTTCATCATTAAAAGGTCAGAAGACAATCCATTTGGGAAACACTTGTTTCATTATTACTTCAGGTAGAATCTGAATCTGAAAGGCAACATCGTACATGTTGCAACATCGTGGCAACTTACTCCCCTCGAGAGGAGGAGAACAACTTTTGTAATGTTTGTTTGTTGAAGGGGAGGTTGGATTGATAATTTTTGATGCATTCAAGGATGCCAGGAAATCCGGAAGCTGATTGGCTAGCTGACACAGCAGTTAGCAGATTTGTCCCTGAAGTTGAAAGGTTGGATCTAGAACAGATGAACAGCTACACTTGAATGCAGATATCTGATTATAGATACAAATAACTCGGAATACAGATGATGGGAGCCAGGATTAGATTCTGCCTGTTCTTGGTTTCCAGACTGTTTTTCTTGTATACACCAAAGCCTGCTGATTTGTAATTGGTGAATAGATATCCAGACCCCTGTGTACAGATACAAACCACCTCATGAGAGATTTAATCAAAGCAACAGAATGGAACAGAAAATGTTTTTAAAAGAGGCCCATTGGTTTCCTCTGACCTTCTTGCTCTCAGTGGGAGATTCTTTCATCTCAGAATCATCAAAACTGAACACAATTCACTTGCCCTCACCGCTGCCCCTCCATCTTGAACCAAACCAACCAGGACAGGCTCCCATCTTTATATATAAGCTTTTATAGGCTGAGCCGTCTGCAGGCTCGATGGCAGCGTGACAGTACTGCTGACTGCTGGAGTTGACCACCTGTCTGTTGTACAGAGGAGCAGAATACAGGAGAATCCATTTTCCTTTCTCTAACACCTTTATCCTGATGACTGGGAGAACAGCGCTCTCTACAAACATCATTAAATCACTACTATTGTCACTCATGAGGTAGCAATACAGACGATAAGGAAGGATGAATGGATAAAAGAATCGTGGTGGAGATATAATTAGAAAGCTTATCGAGGGAAGCACAAATTGATTGTGACTTCATGATACAAAAAAAAAACATGATTTAAAGGAAGTTAATTTAAATTCAGTCTGCATTTGGGGTTTTCCAATCTCGCAATTAAAGGGAAGCCACCCAAGCTGTGTACAGGATATGTGTTACTCATCAAAAGCAACCTCCTGGCAACTTCTGTGACTCAGAGAAAAGTGTTTTTTTTCTTGTTTTCGCCTCGTTGTCTCTGTCAGTTTTTCAGCACATTGCCATTTTCAAAGTCATACGTCCTCATTAGTCTTTTGTCCACATCCTGACTCAAGGCGGACATAATGAGACACCCAGCTGGGTTTTCAGTGTTCGCCCACAAGCAGGCAGGGCTTCAGCCGGTTATCTCCATGCCCTCCACCCTTCTATCTCTCAGACATTTTTTCTTCTTAAGGAGCTTTG